TATAAACTTGATAATCAAAATATCTATTTGAATGGAGGGTTGTGATTATTTTGTCTTATTGAAAATTTATTATATGCCTTTGGATTGATAAAATTAATTAATGATTAAGTATGAATTATTATTATTTGTTGTTAGACTTTCAAGTGAGACAAAAAGCTTCGTCTCCTCTCATTTTTCCCCCCTAAAATCGGGGCTAGCTCTCTTTATTTATTTTTGATTTTCTTTCTTCCATTATTCCTTGACACAAGCTTGAAACTAAGGTTTCATAAAGCGGTGTTACATAACGGTTGCAGTCGTTACGTAACGGTTGTGGCGGTAGGCACTACCTATTACACCCGCTTTTGCGGTGTGACGAAAATTCACACGTATAACGGTTGTTTCGGTGTTACGTAACGGCTATAGCAGTATCGTAACCTCCCGTTATACATCGTTAAACACACTTACAATATTCTGAACTTCCTTTAAAAAAAAAAAAAAAAAATTCACAAATTATACATTATACACATTCTCCAATATTCAATAGCTCAAAAATAATTTTTGTAGGTCTCAATTTTTATTTTTATAATCATTTCATTTAATAATTATAAACATTTTTTATTTAGTAAGTTTAGGTATTGGTAAAAAATAATTTTGTAGACATTTAAAATCAATTATTCTTAAAAAATAAATAAAAATAAGAGGTACAATATAGATTTATGACATATAAAGTCATTAACTATTGAAATAAAATGTAAAAAACTTATTATTTTATAGTGATTTAAAAATATGAAATATATTTGATCATACTTGAAAACTGACAAAAATTGATAAAAATCTATTTTAAACCCCAGTAAATGTGATTCTGAAGAAAAAAAATGTGTATCGGGTAACTTTTTTTCATTTTGTGTGAAAAATAAAAAAAATTCACAGTTCCGATTACTGCAACCATTATACTACGATCTTTACACTTCGCAACCGCAACTGTTATGGCGACCACAACTGCTTGTTGAAGCCTTGCTTGAAACCTAAGTCTTGGTTTCTATTGTTACATATTAGCGGTAAATTATTGAAGTTATGCCTTTAGTTTGTCACTTATGAGTTTAAATAGAGGGTTTTGATTGAGTTTCAAAAAGAATATTGAAGAACACTTTGTAAGTTTGGTGTGTTATTGAAGCTTGTGGTTTACTTGCATCATTACAACCATCAACTCTATCTTTTCCCTTCTTATTGTGAATCAAAGCTTCATTGAAGGTTCACATCTCCATTAGAAGTATGTTAGGGTTTCTATTTTTTTTATTTTTTTTTTGTTGATTTTAAAACTAAAAGTATGATTTCTAGCATGAAAAGTTTTGAGTTAGTTTTGTATTCTTGATTTGTTTTGTATATATTTTAATCGCTGAAACTAATGCTCCATTGATCCATGTTTTGAATGTATTAAGCTAAATTCATATTCATGCTTTGTTTTATGCTTAATAACTCATTTTTAAACTAGAGTTGAGGTATCATTATGAAACCCTTAAAAGTGATAGTTTTGCATGATTTCATAAATTCAAATGTTAAAAAGTGTACTTTATGGCATATTAGAAGGCAATTGGTATAAAGAACAAGTGATTTGATCAACTCTGATTTTTTTTTGAATTATTTAAATTATTGAAAAATTGGAGAAAGTAGTTTAGTTAGATTAATCATGGAATAATTTGATTTAGTTTAAAAGATGGCTTGATTTGATGGTGATTGATATTTTTACTATAAATCTCAAGTTAGTTTACGTACTAGTTTCATTAAATATGTATTTTAATGATTATTTTATGATTAAGTTAGTTTAGTAACTTAATTGAATTATTTAATGATTTGGGACTTAATAGAACAAATGGTAATGCCACACTAGGAGTATATTTAATATTATAGCCATGGGGGCAATTGGATAAAATTAGCTAGAATGAGGAATTGTTGAGAAAGTGGCTAAGTGTTGAAAAATATTCCTAGTGTGGAAAAGTGGAACTTTACTTAAGTATTAAATAAACGATGTTGGGATTTACTATACTTATCTGGCCAGGGTTATAGGCTTATTGATTTTACATACCAGGTCCCTCTCTTCATCTTATTGATTTTACAGGCTTGGCCCAGGTTATAGGCTTATAGCCAATATTGAGGAGATAGTGGATCCAACTATCTGTGGATTGGAATGGACACTGCGTAGTTGAGAGGAATAATAGCATTTGGAGAGGATGGTATGGATTTTCTAACACGCAGCTCGAAGGGAGCATGTGGCGTGATCAGGGTATGACCTAGTATGTATTTATTTACAGTTCAAACATGGTATGTGTTTATGAGATTGGGTTTATTTCTCAGTTGGCAGGTTATTGAAGCCCTGTTGGCAATTGTTGTTTTTAGATTATTTCTTTAATTTAATTATACAGTGAGTTAATTAAGTAAAACGAATTTAATAAGACTGAGTAATAGAATTTGAGAATATGACATGTGTATTGTATTATATATTCTATCACTATACTTGCATGCTTAATAATGTAGATATGAGATTACTGTTGGGTGAGTGTCTTTGCTCACTCCTCTACATTGTGTAGGTATTGGTAGACTCCCCGCCGATATGAGCACCGGGACGTAATTTATTTTTGTTAAGTTTAGACCCTAGGTTAATTGGGCTTGTGTGCCTTTATACCTTTTTGTCGAAATATTTGTATTAATTAATGTCGGGTATGTAACATAACATATCATCTATTATACTATGTCGTATTTCATTTTCTAGAAATATGTGCCCGTGAGATTAATTTATTTAGGCCAAGTTTGGGAAGACTAAATAAGTGCACTTTTTGTCTTTTTGGACTAAAAAATTGAGGTTGAAAATATGGATGTTTGGGTTAACTTTTTGACTTTTTATGGATCAAATCACTTTATAAAAATAAATGTGTAATAAAAAATTGTAAAAATTGATTTGTAGGGAAAAATTTGAATTGGGAGTTGTGCAGCCGTAATTGTTGACTTTTGGTGAATAGTGTTAACTTTTTAACTTTTTGAGTAACTTTTTAGCTTTTTGACTTTTTTGAAACATCCCAAACTTGGCCTTAATTAAGTGTTTCACATGCTTTTAAAAAAAATACATTTAATTATTTTTTAAAAATAATGAATTACTCGTTTCTCAAGGCAAGTCAGTTATATACCAAAACACTTCTTTTGTCACTTAAATCATTCTTAACTTTAAGAAAATGATAACTGGCACATTTTACGAGGTAAGTCAAATTCTCAGAATCAAATGAGAATTTGCTGAGGAAAGTGATTTTGAGGATGAATTAAGTAATAAATGGAGTTTTCACTTAAAAATTTTATGCTTAGGTTAATTAGTTTTTGCCTAATTAATCTTTGAAAATTGGGACGTGACATGATTCGTGCTATGCATGGGAGAAAATAACATATTATTTGTAAAAAAATATAATAATTCTGTTCAATTTTTCGTATTATCTGTCATAAATAAAATTTTATATATAAATTTAAAATTCTATAAAATTATAGAAAAAAGTAAGAGCTTAATATACAAATATTTTAATTCTATAAAACTTATAATTACTTTTTTTTTTAAATTCCATAGAAAATAAATTTAATTGTTACCTTAATTTTTTTTTAAATTCAAAAATCAAAATCAATATAAATTTTTAAATATTTTAAAAGGTTTTAATAGTCAATAAGTTTTGATAAGATTTTACTCCTATAATATTTTAAAAAGAGGTTATTTAATAGGTGTTATTTATTTATTTATTCAATAAATTTAGTCAAGTAATTTAGGTTTTGTTTGGCAAGAAATTATTTTAGTCAGAAAATTAAAAAGTTATTCAGCTTAGGGTCCGTTTGGGAAGGGCTAATTTGCCTATTTTAGCCACAAAAGATAAAATAGGCTATTTAGGCATAAAAAACAAAACATCACATTCAACCCATAATCATTGCACTCTTCTCTCAGAAAAAAACCAAAAAGTTAAAAAGCCCTTCCCAAACCAAACTTTTAGCCCAGGCTAAAATAATCCAAAAAAAACTTAAAAGTCAAAAAGTCAACCCACTTCTTACTTGGTTAGGTTTTTCAAAAAACACTTATCAGAAAATTCGTTCGTATTTTTTTGTTTTATTGAAATTTTTTAAATATTTTAAGTAATTTTTTTTTTTACTTTTTAGACATACCTAACAGAAATATACTTAAAAAGTAAAATATTTGTGAAAAAAATATTTTAAAAATTCATTAAATACTAAAAATTCAAAAAAAAAAATATGAGAATTTAATACATTTTTTAGTATTTTTATGTATTTATTAATTTTTTAAAATATTTTTTCACAAATTTTTTACTTTTTAGATATATGTAAGTAAGGTACATCTAAAAAAGTAAAAAAATATCTAAAATTTTAAAAATATTCACTAAAAATAAAAAAAATACGAAAATTAAAAAACTTATGGGTTGTTTGAAATAAACTAAATAAGTGTATTTTTTGACTTTTTATGAAATATGGGTTAGATATGAGTTGAATTTGAAGCGATGTGGTAGAGACATGATGTGACTTAAATAAGGGGATGTGACTTAAATAGGATAGTGATTTTTTGACTTATTTTTATTATGCCAAACCAAGCCTTAATTTTCAAAGAACTTAATCTAAAAAATTCAAATCGGACACACTAATTAAAAAAAGTCAAAAAGCCTACGGGTTCGTTTGGCAAGATAGTTTGTGGCTAAAATAGCTATAAAAGACAAAATATGTTATTTTAACCACAGCAAACAAAATATCTCATTCAATTTATAATCATTACATTCTTTTCTCAAAAAAAAAATCAAAATTTAAAAAATCCTTCTCAAATCAAATATTTTAACCCAAAATAAAATAACTAAAAAAATCAAAAAGTCAACCACGTTCCAAACCAACCCTACAACTTTCACCTTATAAACCTATATATATAGTGCCTGGCAGAATTAACGTAATATGTGCCAGCTGCAGTATAAAAAGACCCTTTTGCCCCCTATTGACGTGTCTTTGTTTTGTCTTTAACCCAGCTTTATGTCAGACATTGATGGGAATATTATCAGGAATATTATCAGACCCATCACAGAGGGTCTACTATCCAGAGGTGTTCAGCTACATCAAACACGCAAGATGAAGAGACCTCTTCGTTCAAGACAAGAAAATAGTAGTAGCTTTGATCTGAAGAGGAAGATGAAGCAAGCGACGACGAGAGTCCGCCAAGCCCAACGGAAAAGCAGTCCCTCCTCCGACGATCGCCCCAACCGCAGGTAAGCTCTTCTTCTCTCTCTCTCTCTCTCTTCAGCGTCTCTTGTTTCTATTTCTGTATGTATGCATTCGTATGCTCTGATTTTCATATATGTATGAACTCTCTCTCTCTCTCTTTCTCTCTCTGTGACCACTTTCCTATTTCAAGTTGTCTTCTAAAATCAGACTTTTTTGTTTGGGTAATTAAAAAGAAAGTCCCCTACATACAAGAGATGGCGGTTTTAGGGCTTCCTTTGAACTACCGAGAGCACTTTACCAATAACCGAGTTGTTTGGTGGTGGGGTGTGTGGATCTGATAACCATGAGTCCTATGCTCTGTTTTTTATTTATGTATGAACTCTGTCTTCTAAATTCAGACGTTCTTTGAGTAATTGAAAACAGAGTCCCCTAAACAAAGTCCCCTGATCTTCGTTGTGTTTTTGGTGATGTTTTTGGGACTTGACTGCACTGGGTTGTCGCACTATATCAACCGTTAAAACATATGCTTATATGTGTAAATATTTTAGTGCTTCCTTTTCTCTACTAATATAAGAATTACAGCAATGCTAGTGTTTGCTCTATGCAAATTGAGTTATGTTCTCTATGTGAAGGTATATGTATATCTATATATATATATATCTGTTTTGGATTCTCTGAATTGAGAAATCTAGTGCATGCTAGTATTCGAGATTTTGTAAAGATATTTTTGTAAACAGGTTTTATAATTTTCATTTCTGAAAGATTTTGTAAACAGATTTTTGTGTACAGATTTTGTAATTTTCATTTCTGAAAGTTTTGTAAACAGATTTTTGTGAACAAATTTCAAGATTTTCAAAGAATTTTGAAAGATTTGTTTATGTCAGTAGAGGATCACCTGTTCATTGCACTTCCACTGCCCAAATCTGTTCACCAGACAAAAAGTATTATATATTTTATGCTTGTCCCCCACGTGTTGTGTCCTGCATTTTTTGAAAATAGACGTGTCGGCGTGTCCATGTTCGTGTCCATGCTTCTTAGTTGTAAAATGATTATGAAATTAGGAAAAATTGGAGAACTTTGTGAATTCATGCATCCATCCATTGCACTCTCATGGCTTTACATTGACATTGTGCTATTATTTTGAAACTGATGGATATGTTGAAATGGGGTAAATACCTTGATAAATCCGGTTAAGGGTTGTAGTTGTTTGAGAATTAAGTTGGCTTGTTCCAATTTCCTTCCAGTTAAGAGCCAGTAAAATGGTATTTGTAGTGCTCTAAGAGATGTGCCGCCCCAGCCAAACTCCCCACTTGACAATGTCTTTCGCCCGGAGTCGTATTTACTGTCCTATATTTTGTTGAAATGAAAGCTCATTTGATTGGCTTATGAATTCTGAAAAATGCATGGCATGATTCTTGGAAAGAAACTATATTTTGGTAGGGCATATCATTTGCATAGCATGATTATAATCATATTAAGGCATATATACCTTGTTAAATTTATCTCTACTGGGCCCCAATGCTCATCCCTATGTAGAAAAACATTTCAAATTACAATGATATGCTTACCCCTCGTTGAATGATCTTGGAGATCTTTTTGGAACACCAATCTCATTTTTGTACTGTTTGTTTTCAACTTTTGAACTTCTATGTATGGGATAGAGGTCCATCCCTTTTTGTACCAGGGTTCTTAACCTTGAAAGATGCAAGCCCGTAGGATATTTTATTTGTTTACTTTAATTCTCTTAGTTGATTTACGTGTCATGGTTTGTGTAAAAACAATGAATGTATTTTGTAACTTCCAAATAAGATATCCAATGAGAAAAAGAGAACTATTCCTATTTATGAGATTGTTGTATTTTATGTTTTTACAGTTTTCGCACTTAAATAATGGGTTGATAATATAAAATTAATTGTAAATTTTGGGATGTTATAGTAAATTTCTCGAAGACTATTGTAGAAAAAAGAAGTATGAAGTGTTGAAGCCTCTCGTGTTGTTCTCGTTGAAATGCCACTAGTACACAGCAGAGAAAGAAATTTAACAAGAGATTGCGAGAGAATAACCTTCAAATTATGAGAGTTTTTTTATCGGGTAATGTATAATTTCATTTTTTCTTCCAATTATTCTGGTATGTTCCTTTATTATATTTATGTATTTATTGTGATTATGATTTTATTTTATTTTATTTATTTTAAAAAGATGTTGCAAAGAGTTTAACCATTAGATATAATCTCGCGGGGAGACTTGACTACCGGACATTTCATGCTTTGACAACTTGGTCTAACTTGACAAACGAAGATCAATTTTTAGTGACTATACAATTTTATAAAATGCAAGCAGAAACTAAGGCAGTTCATAGAATTCTCTAATTAGTGCGTAATCCCAATATAGTCAATGTTTTGGACTTTGATGTAGACTACCGAAACGACTATACTGTCATAATATTTAAAAGATTTAACATAAACTTCAATAATTGGTTGAACATGCAATTGAATATTTGTGAGTATAATTCTAACGGCACAATAGTCATTTACATGACAAAAGAATGCATTACCTCACTCAAATAATGCAATGTTTATTAAATTTTACAGTTTGTTATATATTTAAGTAAGACTAGTTGTTTCTTTCATTAATTTCTTTTTTATTTTATTTTATTTTATTTTTACTTTTTTGTTTGATTTTTTATATGGTTATGTACATATTTATTTAATTTCAGAGATCATAAATGGTAGTGAACTTTAAATATAGGCAAGGTATAGGTATATTAAACTTATAAAATATGTTTTGAATTAATATCCTATATATTTACTTTATTTTCTAAATTTGCTGCATAAATATATATGTATCATGCATGCTATAATTGATTTCGAATAAGGGATGAAGAAAGATTTTGATGATCTCAAGTTTTTGATATTGCAAGCTGTAGAAAGGTATCCCATTAAAGATGATAATGAGAATGAACCTGTTGGTTTATCTCTCTTTCTTCAGCTTGAAAATGAATTATCTGATCTAAGTATAAATAGTGGCATAAGGTATTAAATTTTTTTTAAACATAATTTTTGCCCTCTTTTGCTCGAAGCAAAAAAATACTGATTCTGTTGATTTTTGTATTTTTTTATATTTATTTTGTAGAACGTATGCTTACTTTATGTACCACAATCGCTTGTTCGACAATAGGAATTATCGTTATAACATGATCCATAAGTCATGGGATTATAGCATGGTTAATAGGGATAGTTTTTGTACTATGATGATATTAGACGAGTACACCTCATACATGATCATTTGGTGGACGAGGGTATCGGCATATTTTATATTTTACAAGTTTTCGAATAAGGAGAAACTAAAGATCGATACCAATAGGCTGTTAGAGTTTTGTCTTTTTTGAGAGATGCCTATTCTCATTATGGAAAGGTAAATTTGTACTTTTTAAATTGTTTATGGTTATTAATTTTTATTTTTTACTTTTATTTTATTTGATAACGTACAGAACAGTAGAATTGACGAATCAAGAATAGAAAAGTTCTTGAATAAATTGTTTCCTGATTTCATTTCGAAATTATCTTTTGAATTTGTCAAAAAGATTGGTTCACCGACTTATTGTTTGTGCTGTTTCTTACTAGTAGTAACTTCTTTCTTTCTTACTCCCAAGCTCAGTGTTCTGTGAAGCAAAATTTCATAAACTCTTCCTATGGGAAGGAAGGAAACCCGGTTCGGAAATGGGACAATTTCATACTTTTATAAAGAAAGAAACAGCGTAAACAATAAGTCGGTGAACCTATTTGGACTAACAAGCAAATAATGTGATTATTTGCTTACTTAGACATGGTTGAGTATTGACAAGCTATCTTTTTGACGAACTCAATATATAATTTTGGGATGGCATCAGAAAACAATTTGTTCAAGTACCTTTCTATTGTTGATTCGTCAATTCCATTGTTCTGTACGTTATCAAATAAAATAAAGCAGTCAAAAATAAAAATTAATAACTATTAGTAATTTAAAAAATACAAATTTACCTTTCTAAAATGAGGATAGACATCTCTCAAAAAAGATAAAAATCAAACATCCTGTTAGTATCGATCTTGGGTTTTCACCTTATTTGTAAACTTGTGAAATATAAAATCTGCCGGTACCCTCGTCCACTAATTGATCATGTATCCAGTGTCCGTGTTTAATGTCATCATGGTACATAAATTACTCTTATTAATCATGCTATAACCCCAGAACTTATGGATCATGTTGTAACGATCATTCCCATCATTGAATAAGGGATTGTGGTACATGAAGTAAGCATATGTTCTACAAAATAAATATAAAAAACACAAAAATTAACCAAATCAGTAGTTTTTGCTTTGAACAAGAGGAGGCAAAAATTAGATTTAAAAAAAGTTTAGTACCTTGTGCCACCATTTATACTTAGACCAGGGAATTCATTTTCAAGATGAAAAAAGAGAGATAAAACAACATGTTCATCCTCACTACCATCTTTAGTGAGATGTTATTTTACGACTTGCAATACCAAAAACTTGAGACCATCAAGATCTTTTTTCATTCTGTATTCGAAATCAACTATAGCATGCATAATACATATATATTTAAGCAGCAAATTTAGAAAATGGAGTAAATATATAGGATACTAGTTCAAAACATATTTTATAAGTTTAGTATACCTATATCTTGCTTATAGTTAAAGTTTACTAGTTTAATGGTACTGGTTTCTGACACTATAACACCGTTTATTAAGTTATCATGGTATAGTCCTTGGTAATGAAGAGCTCAAATGCCATTTGTGATCCCTGAAATTATATAAATACGTACATAACCACATGAAATCAAGCAAAAAAGTCAATTTTTTTAAATAAAATAAAACAAAAAAAGAAATTAATGAAAGAAACAACCAGTCTTGTTTAAATTTATAACAAACTGTAAAATTTAATAAACATTGTATTACTGAAATGGGTAAGGAATTCTTTTAGTCATGGAAATGACTATTGTGCCATTAGAATTATACTACTAAATATTCAATTGCATGTTTAACCAA